CTTTCTTTCCAAGGTCTGGCTGATCCCTTTGCTGCTTCCCAGTTCTCCGTGGGGCAGCATGTTGTCATTCTGGCACATTCTCTGGAAATTGTAGACTTTGTATATCCAAATAATTTGGAATTATGCTCTAACAGTAGTGTTTTTTCCTAACGTTTTGTACGACATTGCTACTTGGAGCAGCAGAAAGAGAATGTACTAGCATAATGTGAGGATAGTGGAGATGGGGTGAAGTATTACTTTGTTTCCCTATCATATTCCATCAGAAGATCTAAATTGCTTTACAGATGGTGAATGAAGCATTACAGTCCGGCAGAGAATACTGGGGTAATATTATCTATCTTAGAGTTAATCTGCCTAGGATCACACAGCCAGGGGTGAGAAATCCTGGCCCCATTGCAGTCAGTTGCAAAACTCCCATTGACTTCACTGGGGCCAGGATTTCACCCCAGTTCGCCTGATGCCAGACCCCACCTTCCCTCAAAACCCAGGATTGCAGTATTTGTGAATATTTCCATTATTCTGGAAAGAGATCTGATTAGATCACCAAATGAGTTACTGGCTCCCCTGACTGGCTTTATCTGTAGTCCTCTAGGAGCTTTAGTGATGGCTTCTAGAACCTTGAAGCTCATCTCATCAAAATGAAACTTTGATATCTACTGTCATGGTAGCCAGGGAAGATAGGAAGCTCCACATTATATCAACTCTACTCAGAATAAACACAGAACCACCCCAGCTATGTTTTGTCAACAAATCATGACAGACATTCTTGTGAAGGCACACGGTCCTGCCTTACAGAAAAGGAAAGTTGTCTCGGCACTTTTTAAAATGGTGTATTTTTAGTGTTGTGTTATGTCTCATACAGATTAACTGTATTCCTTACCTAAAACCAACTAACATGGGTAATTGATTTCATCCATTCTCTCAGCTGGCACACAGCTATTTTGAATTTTTGTCCTGCAGTTATTACTTGACAAACCCTTGATTATATGTTTTTTCTTCAATACTAACTTTCTAATTCTTTCTGTTAGCCATGTTTTGCTGATGCATGTCACACTTTTTTCCCCCTTTCCTCCAGTTTTATAGATAAGAGCTGGTAATTGTCTTCATAGAGGCTGTAATGAATTCTGTCATCACACAAAGAAGCTTGCTAATAAAACAAATCAAAGCAGCAATGAAAATGAATGGGAAGCATGCTTTAAAATTTAGATTTGTACTACTTGAATGCCACATTGTCACCTACAGAATGAGGAAATATTTAAAAGGCACCAAAAGCTGAGCTGGATATATTTGAAAGCTCCTTGTGGTATGTCAGTAGGACTCACAAAGCTTGCAGCTTTATTCCCAGAGTGCTGCAATTGCACAAAAATCAGTAGGCAGCCAAATGTTTTAAATTGTGGTCCGAAAAGTGGATATAGAAATTACCATCTTTGTTCCCTGTTCTTTCAGCAATTTTACTTGGCTTAATAGTCTGTCTCCTCTTGGGATCTTTTGTAATGATGTCGTCTTCTGTGATTGTAATCTTCTCTGATGCCAGGTGACTTCTTACATCAGTGATACTGATACTTTACACCCTTGTGCTTTGAGATCTACTGATGAAAAGTGCTATGTAAAAGCTCGGAATGACTAACCCTATTTCTCTGTTCTGTGTAGGTTCTCACACCCTGTTCTCCCCTCCCCCCCATAGTATCTGAGTGCTATCCAAAAATTGTAAATCTATGGCCTGCCTTAGCTCATCTAGCAAGGGTGTTCCATGGCAGCTGATCTTATTCCTACTGACTGCACAGTGCCTGAGTCCATGGTCCCAGAAGGGAAAAGAGTCTTTGGATAGCTTGGTCCCAGAGCACTGAGAGTCTTGAAGATTAAGACCAGGACTTGGTAGCTCATGGGCAGATAGTGCATGGATCCAAGCCCCAAAGTGATGTGCTCCTCTCAATCTGCATGTTATAAGGTGGCAGCTGTATTCTGAACCAATGGAGGTTCCTTAGGTTCTGTGGATTCACCCACAAGTATGATGTGTTATAACAATCTACTGTGGCTGGCATGTGCATGATCACTATGGCCAGACCTGAGTCTGACAAGATGGGATGCAGTCTTCTGTCCAGCTGCAGAAACTTTACATTCCTGTTATTGCTGTGTGTGTGACCTGTTTTAGGAGTCCGAGGATGGTGTTGTCTTGGAGGCTCTAGGGCACGTGCACTTTGCTCTCTTGCTCTCTTTTTCCTTTTTCCCTTTCATATCTCCCACACGTGGTGAAGGTGAGGCAGGAGGAACTGTGAGGTGGAGAGGAGATGAGTGAATGTAGGGCATGGAATGATGAGGCAGAAGAATGAGTCAATGGAGAGGGAACAGGGGTGTAGTAGTTTTAAAAAAAAAGTGGGTAAATTAATCTAAATTAAATTCCATATTCCCTAAATGAGAAGTGGATAAACTCATTTACTTGATGACAGGTTTCAGAGGAACAGCCGTGTTAGTCTGTATTCGCAAAAAGAAAAGGAGTACTTGTGGCACCTTAGAGACTAACCAATTTATTTGAGCATGAGCTTTCGTGAGCTACAGCTCACTTGATCATGATGAAGTGAGCTGTAGCTCACGAAAGCTCATGCTCAAATAAATTGGTTAGTCTCTAAGGTGCCACAAGTACTCCTTTTCATTTACTTGAGTTTATCCTCGACTACGCTGCTGGGGGTGGGAGAGACTGCTTATACATTTTAAACTTGTGTTCAGGCAGTCCTTTTATCTGCACGCAATGCTAATGCCTTGGGATGAGGAAGAGCACAGCTGGTGTAGCCTCCCATAGGTAGAAGCAAGGTGCCATTATTTCTTGGCCTTAGTGGCTCCTTCAGCCTTATTGATCACTAAAGCTCTGCAGGCTTTCCCTGGCTCCGAAGACTCTGCAGTCCTCCTCCCAGTGCAGATAGTCTGTGTAACTCATAAATTCCAGGTTTCTCTCACTGCTTCTGCAGCCATCCTTGCTTCCCAACCAAGTTCCATACATTGAATCCTGCTTTCTGCCCCAAAAGCCTTGCAGAGCTGCTGAAGCCCTTTGCAGATCTGCATTATGTGGGCTTAAAATATCACTGTATAATACTGAATACTTGGTCTCTTGGTCAATAGAACTTCTGATATATCCAAGCAGTGAAATCCTATCCCAGCCACTGCTGCAACCTGCCACTAATGTAACTTGTATTGCACAGGAGTTAGAGTAAGGAGCACCACTCTAATAGTACCAGTAGAAAGGACAACTGAAAGGACTCCAAAAGTTAAATGGAGTACAGACTTTAGTCATCTGCAGTAACTGTCCTGTCCTCTCAAGATATAACAGTAATTAAAAAGTACTAAAGGAACAAAAATCCATAGACCAGAGTTTCAGTCAAAATTCCTTTTTGTATTCTTTACAATAATAAATATTTGATTAAAGTATTCTGGGTTAGTGGAATTCTGGTCTCAGGAAACTGTGATAATATGAAGAGATGAAACTTCATTAAGCTATACACAGGAAATGACAATGATTATTAAATGGCTAGGGGCCAGTAGATAGAGATGAAACTCCAAAGGACTTTGGTGTAATAACTAGTAATTATGCAGCCGCCTTGGCCAAATATTTCATTCCCTTACTAAATATTTAATATTGTAGCCATATTAGTGAATTGCCTTCTATGCATGAAGCTGTTGACTAAATTCATTGTACAGTGAATTGCAGGAGTCCAAATTAACCATGATAATGGCGTGGACCAATAACGCTACCTTAGCTTGCAGGCCAGTGGTCACCATCCTGTAATATTTATATATCTCACATATAGTGATTTTGGGTACTGAGGGGGGGATTTGGGTATCAAATCAAGAGCAAGACAATGTCAAGTGTCTCCTACTAAATGAAAGCAGGAAAAAATAGAAGAAGCTGTTTGAAGGTCAATAGGAACCAGGAATCTACCTAATGGAGCCTCGGTCAGGTAGTTAAATGTTTGTCTGCCCCTCCTTTGCTAAGACAAGCACTTTATTTTAATTAAAAAAAAAGCCAACTGAGTCGGAAGCCAGTCCTCTTAAAGTGCAATATCCTATTTTTAACTTATAGATTAGATGTTCTCTGACTGGCTGAAGCTCCTAAGTGTATTCCTTAAACCTACTGGAATGCATTTACTCACTGGTACAGAGAGCAGCATTCACTCTTTCATTCACGTAGTCAGGCAAAAAGATTACATCCGCATTAATCTAGGTATAAAAGAAAGATGTTAAAGGATGATGGCACAGAATCAATGTCTCTGCATGGAAAACAAACTTCTTGGCCTCACCTTGACACTAATCAGGCATCAGGTCATTATTCTGCAACTAATGCTCTATTCCATTGACTTTCTCTTACTTTTTTTTAAATGTAATTGTTTTCACCAGACAGGGACTTCCACTAATTGGAGGGCTGCAGAAGCTAGGAGTGTGTCTCTGCATTAAAAGCATAGCATTGATCTCCTAGACCTAGACTTTGCTCTGATACCCAGCGACAGTACAAAAGCATGGGAGCCAGTATTTTCTGGTTTGAAGCTTAGGCAGGTTTGTGAATAATTCCATTGAGTGTTTGTGTAGCACATGATCTGACCTATAGTGTTGCCCCCCAAGTTACTTTTGGAGCTCTTGCCTGACGCAGAGCACAGGATTTGGCATGGGGATCCAATTTTTAATCCCTGTGTGCAATAATACACCATTTCACTTTAACTTGGGAAATAATCTGTGTCGGAGCTGTGCTGTTCAGAAAGAATCCTTTGCTTTTTCCCACCCGATGACCAAGGATCTAAAGAGCATCTCTACAGCCAATATGCTAATCTTTTGGCGAAACTGAAAGATGCCTGACTGAGCAGCCAGCAATCAGGTTTGAAGTTAGTATTTGAGGGACCGGCTGAATCAGTCTTTAAAGTACAAAGCTTCCATAAATCTTCCTATATTGAACATTTTTTGCTTTTCAGCTGAAGTGTATTCCGATTGTGTATCTGTCCCTCTCTGCCATCCTACAGGTGTGGATGTGTGGGGGTCGCATGGAGGACATTCCTTGCTCCCGAGTGGGTCATATCTACAGGAAATACGTTCCTTACAAGGTTCCAACAGGAGTCAGCCTGGCGAGGGTAAGTGTTTTTTTCTAAATAACCTTCCTTTGCAACTTTAGAGGCCCAGGGATAGGCATGTTGAGGACTCCACAAGCCTCAACTCTCCCTATCTTGTATCATGCTTAGAGATGGGAAAAGTCCTACTGGCTTAGCAAATTTGTCCCTCTGTTGCGGCAAGGTACATTCATTCTCCCCTGCCCCCTCCAATAGAGAGGAAATCTAATCGTAACCAGAAGCTACTCTGGATCTTGACCAAAATTCTCGGCGCATTTGGAGTTATGGGGCTGTGTGCTTGGCTGGCTGTCGGCAATACAATCCCAGTAAAAGTACTGTATGCTTTTATCATTGAAATTTTACACAGTCATAATAGCTCAGAATACATTCTGGGCAGTGTGGTACAGGATGGTGATTGTGCTGCTTCAATGATAGAAAGACTTTTCAGCCTCATAGCATGTCATGGGTGTTCTCATTCCGTAATATGGTAATACTCCGTTTAAATAAAGGGATCTCATTATTATATTCCAGTATAATTAATGTAAGCTTCTAGGCTCGTCTTATGAAGGTGGTGTGCAGGTTTCCTTTGAGGATGAGGACTGAGAGGTCAGATATGGTGTGATCATTTTGTGATAAACATCATATCTCCCATGGGTCAATACTTATCATTTTTCTGTGCCAGTTCACCCAAGCTTAGTGATTGCTTCGTTTCACCCACATAGTTGCTACCGGGGCGTTCAGTGCACTGGATGAAGTGCACCACATGCTTTGATAGGCATGTGTAGGACCCATGAATCTTGAAGGGCGTGTTGTGCAGAGTATTGATCATCACAGCAGTGGAGATACATCTACAGGTTCACAGGCAGATACCACTGAATATGCTCCCAGGAGAAAATCCAGGATTTACACTTCAACACAGTTAAAAACACCAAACAAGGACACTCTACCAGAGAAGTACATCGCATCATGGAGCAAGCCAACCTTCTACTATCTTCAAGGGGAGTAAGGAAAGGAAGGGACAAGTGGGTGGAGAGGAGAGTGGTTTGTTGTCTCTGAGGCAGGTGTCAGAGAAAGGAGGCAGTGGATAGATCAGGGAGTTCTCTGTATAGGAAGAAGGAGGTAAGAGCAAAGGAAGCAACAGGAAAGAGCAAATGAGTAGATCTCAGCCCCACTCACTGTGAGCATCAGCCACCACCAAAGCTGCAACTTATTTCTCTAGAGGGGATTAAGATAGCAAAAAGAACTTTGGAATGGTGTGTGACTCTGCACAAAGCACTCCCCTACTGCAGCAGTCATCATCGGTGGGGACCCTTCCCCCCGTCTGGAGTATTTGACATAGCAACAACAGCCATGTCCAGTAATCCCCTTTTGGGGTGTTTTCCACCTTCCTGCTGGTCTTTGGTAGGAAACTAGTTTGCCGCCTGATCCAGGCTTCATTTGGTAGCCAGGGATGAATAGAGACCGCAATGCTAGGTGATAGACGGAGATCAACTCTGCATTCAAAGGAGCGGGAGATGGGAAAGAGGCTGCCCTTTATCCAAACCCAAGCCCCTCCAGAATTAAGTATTCTGCCCTGACTTAAGAGAAAGCAGTAGAATGCCGGGCCTGTTTCCCTGTGGGCAAACATGAGCTGCTGGAGAGCTGCCTGAATACATGCTCAGAATAAGCAGTGAAGGCTCACAATGAGTGCTAATTTGAGCAATAAAACCAGCAACATTGTCAGATGCAACCCCTTTGCAGCTGCACCCTATGCTGAGCACCTGCAGCGGGGCCAGCGGTGAAACGTAAATCAGAACTGTGCTGCTAACGTAGGAGGCGGGGTGGCAGGAGGGAAGCCCAGACATTAATCATGCAGATGGCAACTGCGGAGTATTTGGACTTATTGTAAAACATGCAACCTGGTTCATGCTGTGGAAATTGGGAAAGCGTTCACATTTGATGCTTCTGGAGAAGGGCGAAGCACAGCAATTTGATCACCAGAATGAACACAAGAGGCATTATCTGTGATGAGGTAAGGAGATAGGACAGCAAGGGCACCAGCGTTACTAACTGAAAGAAAGCAGAAGAGGTATTTCTAGGGCACCCTTGCATGGGACTGGCTGACACTCAGGTTTTTTTGCAGTGGTGGTGTAGCCGTCTTGGTCCAAGGATATGAGAGTCACGAGGTGTGTGAGGAACTTTGTTTGTGAAAGACAAGCTTTTGAGATTACACACAGCTCAGCCGATGAAGTGAGCTGTAGCTCATGAAAGCTTATGCTCAAATTAATTCGTTAGTCTCTAAGGTGTCACAAGTCCTTCTTTTCTGTAAGTCTGGGAAAGGTACTCAGTGTGTCACAGCTAAATACAGTTTATTTAGCCTAAAGAGTAAAACACGTTTTAGGGGACCGTTGAAGAGGAAGTGGGCAATTAACATGTCTTCAGTCATAGGACATCACCTACAAAAGACGAGCTTGGGAACTTGAATTCATAAAATCAGGCTATCAGAAATACCAGTTTCATGATTACAACAGTTGGGTAACTCACTAACCTGCTTTGTCCTGTGACTACAGAAGTGTTAATTGCCCGCTTCTTTTTAAATGGTCTCCTACATCACTTTTCCCTCTTATGCTAAATAATTTGTCCCCTTGTATCTAGCTGTGACACTATGTAACTTTCCCAGAGGTGAAGAGCTGTGTTTTAACTCTCTCGTTCACCACCAGAAGTTGATCCAATAAAAGAGATCATCTCACCCACCTTGTGTCTCCAATATCCTGGCACCAACACGGCTACAACATTGCAAACAATGTTGTAATGATTGTTTTTGTGTTTTGATATTTACATGGCAAAGATTTGCAAACCTATTAAAACTTCCATATTTAATAGTAAAAGAAAAAAGAGCCCCTTCATCCTCAGACCTCACACTGTACTGGAGGAGTAAGTTACAGGAAAGGCCTGTCCAGTCAAATTTCTTCAGTATTGTAACTGAGAAAGAAAGAAGATTACGTCCTCATTGTATGCTGCAGTTTTCTACCTCTGGTTTCCAAGTAAATTGAAAAAGGGTAGTAGCGCCCTCTGGTGGGAAAAAATAATAGAAACAAAGGATACAAAACTAAACCAAGAAACAGGTCTCCTACCTGGCTTATATCTAGATCAGAGGGTCAGAAAACATCTTACTTGAACGAGACTGTGCCCTAATTATATATTTGGAATGTATTACTGTGACAAAGTAACTACCTCAGAGAGAGATGCAGTGTTCTTCTTTCATCTCCCCTGTAATGTTAGAATCCTCTGATTCCTTGTTAACTCCTCCAGGATGTCAGAGGGCATTGGGAGCAGACTGGTGTGGGGCTAGAAACCTTGGAATCACCAGACTTGGAGAACATTTAGGCTAAGGTTTACATTTAGTTACATCAGATCATATCAGTGATCATAAAGTGACAGCTTGGGAAGGGGGTGTGTTGGACTATATTTGGAGCTGGATAAGAAGGTCACTTGCTTGCAGTTGCCTTAGCTGTTTTTGCTTCTAATCCGCCATGGCAAATGCATTGCTGCCAGTTGTGCATTCCATTGGAATTGGTACGTCAGGTGTACTTGTTGTGCTCGGCAGTCCAGCGAGTTTTTTCCAGTGAGAGAGCCTCATGTTGCCAGGCAGCAGTCAGGGAGCTAATGACCTATTGTACTCACTATGTTAGGCAGCGCAGCTGGATGCACTGTGTGTGTTTGGCAGCAGTCAAGAAGCTGTGTATAGCTACATTGTGGATTTAATGTTAGCTAACTGCTTGCACTGAAATGATTAAATTGCTGGTTTAGTAATATATTGAAACTAAAATTCAGTGTGCGCCATTACCTGCTTGATATTTTTATCAATATATCTGAGTTTTTCTCCCAAATGAAGACTTGAGTCCCATTTTAGAGTCAGTACAGAAATAGAGTTAGCCTATGAGAGGCTTTGCTATTGTTTTTTTTAGTGACTTGGTCAGAGGCCAACCTGTGATACCTGTATGGTTAACAGGAAGCAAACAATGGGGGATGTTCTGAAGGGACTGCATCTCTAGTGTGTATACTCTCCCACTTACTGTGCCTCAATGTTAAGTTTCTCTTAGTTTTGTATATAAAAGAGATTAACAGTGGAAAGGAGAGAATTCTGTAGAAAGATGCTTTCCAAAACTGGGTGCTGCAGATCTCATTCACAAAGGATATGGCAGGATGGATCAGAGGAGGAGGAGTGGGAAGTTGTCATCTCAGACCTCAAAGTGTCCAGTGGTATTTACAATCGCTGTCTCTGCTCTGACTTGTATTTAAAACAAGTTCTGGCTAAGTGCTATTTCCACAGCCACAAGGAACCACAAGTAATGGCCAATCACCAAGGATTCTCTTTTGACATCAACCAAACATACCTTTCCCTATAACTCCCCTGGACATAGAGAATACACTAAAGATTATCTTGCTCCTAGCAGCTCGAGAGAGCGCCTGTGTTAATGGAAATCCTTTCTGAGCAAAAACATGAGACCTGCTCTGAATTCTAATGCAGAGTTTGAATGGACACAGTTTTTCATGTACATTTTTCCCCCTCATTCCTTCCACACGTGCCTGCTACCTATGTAGAACTTGAAGCGTGTGGCTGAAGTGTGGATGGATGAATACGCAGAGTACATTTACCAGCGTAGACCTGAATATCGGCATCTCTCTGCGGGGGATGTGAATGCTCAGAAGGAACTTCGCAACAATCTCAACTGCAAGAACTTCAAATGGTTCATGAGTGAGGTAGCTTGGGATTTGCCAAAATTCTACCCACCAGTGGAGCCCCCGGCAGCTGCCTGGGGAGAGGTGAGTTCATTTAATAAACTGCTAGGGTTGACAAGCCAGAAAGATCTACCAGGCTATTTTGGATTGTTATAATAGAGCTAATCATGAGCCCTGATGCCTATTAGCTCCATTCCTATGAACAGACATTACATCTTTATTCATAAAGATTCTGCGCTGAATGCTTCAGAGATCAGAATTCCTGTATGCTTCATTATACTGGCCTGCTCAGGAACAGAGCAGACCCTTTGGCTGACAGTTTCCATTAGCACACGATTATAAAAAGAAATTGTATGCTGGCTTGTTCTATAAGATTGCAATTAGTGCACCATGTTTTAGGGGAGGCAGCATAATCCAGTGGATAGGATGTGGGTTGGGGAAGCAAGAATCAAAATAAAAATAAAACCCAGATGTCCTGTGAGACCTCGGACCAGTCAGTTAGCTTCTTTCCCATCCTCCTCCTCCTTGTAAAGTGTCTAGCCTAGGGATAAGAAACCCATACGTGTTTAAGGCTTGTTCCCCTAATTATTATTAAATACAGGGGGTCCCCAGAATGTCTCTCCTGCTTATCCGTCATTTTGCATATCTGTCACTCATCCATAGGGGAACATGTTCGGATTCACATTGGTCCCAATCCACATATTTGTCACTTCACCTTTTGCGTGGCTTTTCTTTGGGTGCTTCCCTGGCGTTCAGGAGGCGCTGGGAGGGAAGGGGCAGAGATGATGGAGGGGGCAGGAAGAGGCAGAGCGGGCTGTTATTTTTTATGGGGGAAAATGCCCCCGTATCAGTCGCCCTTTTCAGGAATGCAACTTCCGATGTATACCGGGGACCCCCTGTCACAGGCTCTGCCATCCTCTGGTGTAAAGGTTGTAAGTCAAAATAGGGATGACCTTTTATAGCACAGTAATCTGCCTCTTTCCAGCTGTAACAATGTCAGCTCAATTGTATAATAATGTAAGGCATTTCACATTGCACCTTTGTACTAATAGCTACCGTTTTGAGGTAACTTCTTAAATCATTCTACCTCTTGGCTGTCACTTTGACAAAAGTGTAACGTAACTAATTAACAATTTAATATTGCAGATCCGTAATATAGGAACTGGTCTATGCGCAGATACGAAACACGGAACTCTGGGCTCCCCATTGAGGCTGGAAACCTGTGTGAAAGGCAGAGGAGAGGCAGCTTGGAACAACATACAGGTAATTGAGTCTTCCTCGTAACACATTCATTTTTAAAAGGATCATGGTGAGGACAAGCAACATTTAAAAATAAACACCTTGGCTATGCACAGTGGCTTCACCTCTCTGGGTAATGAAGCACAATGCTGTGCCAGGTGAGTGAAATGTGGTCTGTTACCCATTGACCTAAGTACCAAATGTACTGATGCTGTTCCTAGTAGACTGCAATTGTTAGTATAAAAGCAAATAGCAGGAGGGAAAGGAACTGGAGCCTGCAAGGCTCCTTGAGGAGCTTTTACCTTTTAGTCTTTGAAGGGTTGGAGTGAACAGAAGAGAATAACAAAGGGAAAGAATATACCAAAACAATAAAAGAAACCGGTAACAAGGCAACTATGGTATGTAACAAAGTGAATATTAACTTCAAAGCATCTGCTGAAAGAAGTGATAAAGAGGAACACCATACATATTGATGAACCTGCAAGCACAGTCAATAAACACTTACTATAGTTCCTCTGACAGGAAGTAGATGCATGATTAACATCCCAATCATTGCTGGGGAGAGAGATTAACCTGACTGGGCTATCAATCCACCCTCCTGATGCATTAGGTGCTAGAAATGACAGCTTTATTGTAACAGGGCGGGCGGGGGGGAATATTAGTTAGTCTTAAAATGTAGCAGCCAAGTTGAGGAAAGATCAAGAACACAATGTATCTATTATGGAGCAATACATAACTCTTCAGGGAAATGGATTTAGTATTAGAAGATAAAGATCTGTTGCATATGAATTTTGATGCAGGAAAACTGGAAATTAAATCAATTTACTGTGCAATTCAGTCCAAAAAGACAAGACTCCAACACAGGAGATTGGCCCAGGTTTAAGGAACAAACCTGTATATTAAGGGCTGCAAAATACAGTGTGGTGAGAAAAACTGCTTACTCTAGTTGCTGCCCCATCTAATAGGGTTGAGTGTTTAGACTGTGGGCTTATATTTTATTTCTTTTGGTAACTAACTGACTTTTTGCCTATTACTTAATCTACCTTTTATAGTCAATAAATGTATTTGTTTATCTTAACCAGTGAGTTTGTATGAAGTGTGTGGTAAATCTGCTCAGGTTTGACAAAGGCTGGTGTATGTCCACTTTCCATTGTTGAACTGGTGAACCAAATATTTAAATGTGCACTGCCCATCTTGAGCAGTGCAAGATGGTATATTCCTGGGGTACAGTGCTGGGAGCTGGGGGATTTGGCTCTGGTACCTTTCTCTGGGTGATTCATGAGTGGCACTGGGAGCATTCATGCAATCTAGCTGGATGTAGGGCTCCACATGCTGTTGTGCTGAGTGATCACAGCACCTGGAGGGGTTTGCTGCTGGTCACTAGCAAGGCATTGTGAGAGACAACCCAGGCTGGAGAGAGTTAAGGAGGCACAGCAGTCCCAGGCTGCACCCCGGAGGATCCTGTCACACCCTCCCCAGCTAGTGTCCCATCACTGGCCATTAGAGATATTTGCTGCTAGCAGTCGCAGATTGGCTATGTGCCACTGTACACAGTTTTATCATACCATCCCTTCCATAAACTTATCAAGCTCAGTCTTGAAGCCTCTGTACCCTCCCACTGGGTGGCTCATGCTGACCCTAGGGAGCCCCATGTGGCCTGGGGAGCACAGGGCTTGATCTTAGATTCCCTGAGGCACTGTGCAGGCTATCTGGGCAGATCATAGAACCATTATTAACAAGGTGTCTTGTAGGTCTTTGCTGATTCTACCCTGTGCACTGTCAAGTGTTCTAATCAGTGAGTTAGTTATAAGCTTAATACTCCCACTGAGAGGTCCACATACCAAACCGAGGAGCCACCAGACTGTGGAAGTGGCTTGTTTCTAAGAGTTCTTGACTTGCCTTCCCCAGAGAGATGCTGTCTAGGTGAGTAGTGCTACACCCTGTGGAGAAACAGAATTTCAGCTCTTGAATCTGGATGGCTTCTTTTCATTCGCTCTTTCATCCCATTCGAAGAGGGTCATGTTTGTCCTGGCAGGTATTCACCTTCAGCTGGCGGGAAGATATCCGTCCTGGGGACCCTCAGCACACCAAGAAGTTCTGTTTCGATGCCATTTCCCACAGCAGCCCTGTGACCCTCTACGACTGTCACGGAATGAAGGGGAACCAGCTGTGGAGATACAGGAAAGTGAGTGCGTTTACTTGATGATGATGTGTCATTCCATGAACATCTGAGGTTCCTTGTAATAACATGACTCGTGGTGGTCTCTTATGATTCATGTAGCTGTGAGAAGAGAATTTATAGGAATCCATTGTCATTTAGCATGAGTAAAAGCAGCATGGGCAAGATGGGGTAGGCATATCTGTTTTCACTACCTGAATGGAAAAGGACTTCTTGAACAGCTCATGAGTAAGAAGAGGGTATAAAAAACACTAGCTAGAGGAGACAGCAAAAGCAGCCTGCTTCTCTTGTTTGTTCTGCAGAGCCTGCCCAAGGTTGCACTTTGTGTCATAGTCTTGTTAGTGTTGGCACAAGAACCACATTTCATTGATGGCATAAGCAGCATCACTCCAGTGACTTCCATGAAATTGCTTCTGCTTGCACCAGCTCTGCGTTTGGTTCAATGTGGGCTTGTACCCGAGCCCAGTACTTGGATATAGGAGAGGCAGCGTAAGACCAACTTTTCTGTTCTTGCCTGATTGCAGATTGGTTTCAGTCAGGCTGCCATCAATCCTGCCCCACTTGCTCCTAGTTTTCCCTTAATGTGCCCTTATCAGATGGAGCAGGCTCTCTGCATCTTCATTTAGAAATGGGAAGGAACAGCATTAAGTGTGATGCCAACGAGAGAGCAAGCGAGGAGACTCTCTGTTAAACCAGCTGCAGCTTCCACCCACAGCCCTCTGGCTGTAGAGTAATGCCATACCTGCCATGCACAATCTGTTTACAAAGTTGTACTAGAGCTTGTCAGCCTGATGTTTAATAATGTGGATGCTCCTCCCATAAGCGGATGTGACTTACTTCTCTACAAGCAATGTTTGTGTAGCAGCAGGTGAAGAAGTTTTTATTTAGAATGCTCAGCTCCCACAAACCCTCCCACCCCCCATCTGTATGCCCAGTGTGACTGGAGGGGAAGCAGCAGAACGTGAGCCTGCAGACTGAAGAATCTAGCTTTAGTTTGCTTTTGCTTTGCCTGGCAGATGTTGCAAGGGTTGGACTGGGTGCCAGTGAGAAGGAGAGAAAATGTAGACAAACACAGACAGACACATGCCATGTCTGCAGGCAGGGCTCACCTAGAAATGTTGATTTCTGAACCAGTTCCAGCACTCATGGTTGCAGAAGTGATGCATTCTACTGCTCATCCTGACAGCAATGAGTGGGACAGACAGCAACACTAACATTAGTGTTTGCTGTAGAAGTGGGAGGTGGGGGATGTCATGGTCTCCCCCAGGGAAGTGTTGGAACGCCACTCATTGAGAAATTTAAAAGCAGACTGCACAAAGCACTATAAGATGCAAGGAACAATTCTACATTGGAAGGGGAATGGACTGTTTCTTAATTTGTGAAATACCATAAATAACTGGTTAGAGCACCATGCACAAGTAAGAAAATGTCTGTGCTGAAGAGCTGACAGTTCGTTAGATGTTAGATTAGATTTGATACATATGTCCTTTCCATTTCTAGCTCATGAGTCCATGAGTTGTGTGCAACCAACAGGAAGTCAGGAGTAGGAGTCAAGGGTGAAAAAAGTATGCAATGGGTAAAATATCTAGTAGGGCAAAACCAAATGACACACACACCCTTTCATTAAAAGGTTTGTATCTAGATGCTATAGGGCAGCAAATGAGTAAAATGGGCTCAACTTTGTTTCCTCAGTGGGACTTTCCCTTTACTTCCCCGTAAACCCCCAGAATGTTCCCCAGTCAAACAAATTGATTCTGAATTTCTCTTCCTCAGGACAAGACCCTTTATCACCCAGTAAGCAGCAGCTGTATGGACTGCAGTGAGAGTGACCGAAAGATCTTTATGAATACCTGCAATCCCTCTTCTCCAACACAGCAGTGGATATTTGAACACACAAACTCAACTGTCTTGGAAAAATTTAACAGAAATCTTGATCTTTAAAGACTGCGCATATATATATATATATTTATATATATATTTTACAGTTATAGTTTTTACCGGGGAGGGTTACAAAAAAATGTTTTGTTTTTTGTTTTTAAACAAACAAGGTAAAAGGGAGAATCTCAGAAGAGGGTGTGACTAGCTGGCCAGTCTTTATTTTGAAGATGCTGCATCTTTCTCTTTTTGGGGATGGTGCAATTCCATGAGGCTTTACCAGAGTCACTTGCCTCTCAAGATCAGATCAGAATCTCTATTTTTAAAGGCTTACGAACCTGGTTCAACCTGCATTTAGATCATGTGTGGTACTTTCCCAGATGCTAAACAAAGCGTTCCCAAATAGTCACTTTACCTCCCAGAATCCATCCAAGCAAAACCTGCACTCAAAATTACAGTGCAAAGTCAACATAACAGTACCTGACAAATACACTGACTTCCAGTGCATCAAAACTTAAAATGCAATAGAAAAATGAAAAGTGTGTGTGTCTCTTCTGTGCACCAAACCAAAATATACTTAAAGCAGCTTGGCCTCATAATGCCTTTCAAAGGAATAGATCTGTTAACAGAATACAGTTTGAGTGAACTAAGGGCAGTTGAGACTAATGTTCCAGTGAATATAAGTCACTGGTAGAAAAACCACAATTTCAGGTCCATGCACCTTGCTCTCTAATACCCATTGTTGGGTCTCTTCAATATGAAGGAATAGAAAAAAGGTTTTCCAGTAAGGTGACCGCCTGCAGCTAAAATAATTGTGGTGACTCTCGCCACAGGTTTTTAGATGGCTAATAACAGTCACTTATAGTATGGGGTGGTTTTAGGATAGAAACATTCCAAGGATCCTTGCCATAAAATCTACTGCATGGGAAAATCTCCAGTTTTCCTCCAGAGACCTGGGGCCAAATTCACCCTGAGCATGAGCAGCTGCAATTCCACAGAGGTTGATGGATTTGAGACTGCTACCCAGGGTTTAATTTGGCCCGTGGTCTTCTGCGGCCAGCAGTCCATCTGTCTGAGGTAACTGCAGTGAGTGCAGGGCCCATGCACAAGGCCATTATACTCTCACAGATGACTGCATAGTTATCCTTCTGCTAAGATGCTGCATAAATCAACCAAACTAAACATTTTCCGATCATCCCCCAGCTGCTTGGCTTGTCCACCTATCCTTATAGGCACTCTACAGGAGTAGGCAGCATGTGGCCAGTTCTGGGATTGTGAGGCATGCCACAGCATGAGGGGCTGAAATGAGCAAGGCAGTGTCTTGGGAAGAGCGGGGAGAAGTTTGCAGGAAGAGCAGGCTGCTATCTGGGGCTCCTAAGCAGCACAGTAATGGATCTCTGCTCCTGCAGGGGCGTGAAGCTCCACATTTCGGGCATCTTCCCTGCTGTGTAGCTCCTAAGTTTCACAAGAGAGCTTTGCTCTGAGCAGGTTCAAGAGGCCCATATATATGGCAGCTGCTTTGTGTTACAGGCCTCCCCTTGCTCACCACAAGACAGTAGTTCAGCCCCCTCTGCTGTTGCCTGCTCCCTTTCTGCACCAGTTCAGGAGCTGCAGAGGTTATCAAGTGACTTTGTGATCTCTCAATGATGGTGCAGAATTTGATGCAGTTTTGCCACATAAATCAGTGTGGGCTTGCTGCATGGCACGCAGGATCTCAACAAGTAATAAACCCAGACTTCAGTGACGTTGCTAATTGCAGCATTGTTGCAAATGATTCACAGAGTCCTTTGAAGTCAAGCACTGCTTCTTCATTTGGAGGGGTGGGAGGACAGAGACTTTACTGCCCTTTGGGATAGTCCATATTTTTTCTGTGATCACTACGTGGTGCCAGCAAACTGCAGCAAGAGATGCTGTACAAACTAGACCAATGCCACATTGGGTTAACATCCTCTGATTAAAATATAATTGCATATGTTCTAAATATCTGTAACATGTCTATCATTAGAAGCACTTTTTAATACCATGGGGGGAAGCGCCAGTTTCCAGTACTTGGGAAGTAGCTGTCAGATGTTTTCCTTGAGTTATGAATGCTCTCATTAGTCTGGTGGTACTTATTGTGGCTCACTAAATGGCCTGACTAAATGTCTTTATGAATGTTTTAATACCTGTGGAACAAGAAGCTGTACACAAAGAGCACAGGTTTATTATAATTGGAATACAAGGTCAGAAAGTGATCATTCCGCTGCAGCGAGTAGTGCTGTAACATTAATGCCTGCATTTTAGTTTTCCACTTCATTAGGGGATCAGCTTCTGTTTAAAATATATGGCTTTCTCTGGACTCGGACTCACCTTGTGAGCCAATTTTTGGATACTTTTAGCTGCTCAGCATGTTGGACACAAGCTTCTGAGATTATTGTTAATGGGATAGGGAGCCTTTGATATCTAGGTCAGTGATTCGACTTTGGCTCAAGGGCAGTTTGGCAGCATTCACCAAAAGACTAGGTGATCTTAATGCAGTTCCTACTTGACAGATATTGGTCACAGGACCACTATCACAAGTGGCCCCACTGCTGCCAGGCTCAGCACAGAGGCCAAGAACTGAATGGGCCAGGAATGCGTTCATCTCTTTTAAGGGTGATCTCTCCCGGTCAGTTGCAGTGCTGTCAGTCTGGTTCATTTCAAAAAGCTGTGGATTTCAAATCCTGACTGTCCCATGAATTCAGTGTGCCTATGTCTGATTGTCTCAGTGGTGTTCCTTTAGCTATTATTTTACTTACGTTAATTGTACATTTCAATGCCCCAGAGGCTTTGCTGACTAATGGGAAGAATTACCATAGTCTGCCAGCTACTGACTGAGAAATAGAAATTATATTTCTCAATCTTCATCTTTAATTGAGCTTTTGCTGAGCAATCAGGCTAATTATTCCAATTATGTTTAGTTATTTATAAGCAAAAATCACCAAAGCATGAATCCATAAACAAATCCTCACATTTGCATGCAAATCAAGATCAGGTCTCAAATGCCATCAACTACCTAATGGAAAACGCATTCTTTTCACATCCAGCTATTTTTCAAAACTGTAATTTAAAAAAAAAATCTCTGCCCCGGCTTCATAAATTCTTTAGTTTGTGGCAAGACTGCATATAAGAATTCTGAAATACAGTGAGATGCTGTGTGGTGTGTTCACTTACATTTCAGTACCCAAAATGCACTTCCATCTCTTGCCTACTTCATAGTGGTGTTACTGTCTGACCCCTGTGAGCAAACTACATGGGTTTGAGTTTTCCTGTAGGCTTTGGCAACAAATCTTTTTTTTTCCCACAGAGTGGAATGTTGTGTGGCCTTTAATGAAAGCGGAATACAGCATCATTAAAATAAAGATGTGCCTTTTTAAATGCAAATGTACAGCAAATGCCTAAACTTGAACCATTTCCTAGTGCCTTGCTGGACAAGAGTGAAGTGGGCTGGGGAGAAGGATGTACAAGAGAGTTTGATGCAGTGCGCAATTACCATTCTGGTGTGGGTTTTTGTTTTTAAATGTCTGGCTTTAAGTACAAATTTTAGCACGACAAAAGGTACTGGCCAGGAGATGCAGGGCCTCCAGGGGTTACTGGATTAAGAGTATCCATTAATGTCTGTGCTTTTCTTTACACTCAGTATGAAGTCTGGAGATTCTTCTTCGAGTGATGGTCCCTATTGTATCCACTGAGGGTTACGCTTGGGACATAGAGTAGAAGTTCAACTGATGTTAGACCAGAGGATTTCTTGGGCTGGTTGCTGTATGTTTAATCCCTGATAAAGGCACGTATAATATCTGTTTAATCAAGGGAACAGCATCCAGGAGTTCACAATTCATACTCAATGTATTCAAATACAGAGCTTTTCATAAATGGTTCCAACAGCATATCAGAATCTAAGTGAAAGGATAATGTGGTAACTTCTATAAACTCAACACCATGGATCAGTGGGGAGCAAATCTGTAATACAGAAGTAGCAAGAAAGCAATTCCTTACAATCTGTGGTAATTTATACCTATGTAATGCCAGTTCAGCAAGTTTTTCCCCTTACCTAGCTGGAAGTCTGTAATGTTAAAAAATTAATACTGGAACTTAAATGAGCAGTGAGGTTTCACAAGTAACTGGTTATTGGTACTAGCATGGTGCTCCTGTAGCTACCACCGTATAGTTATGGTAATTGCGCGTCCTTTTAGGAGCGAGGAAGATCACATAAGAACCATGTGAAAAGTCAGAATGCATCACTGGGTGAAAGGGGAGCAGTTTTCATTTGTTTTTCTTTTGTGATATGTGCAGGATGTTGAAATGTTTGTGTTTGGGGTGTGTGGACAGCTTGCTGCAGCCAGCCAGTAATACATGGTATCAAATGAAACTGTCAAGGCTAACAGATCTAGAACAGTCAATGGCTGTAGGATTGGCTTTCTCATGTATGAGAGTCAAATATGTGTGTCATGCCACACTTTCATTCTACCTGGCTGCTACATTCTCTTAAGCAGATAAGTAATGAAATACACAAGTTACATTTCAGAGTTAACAGCCCACAGCAAATGGGGCATTAAAGCCAGTCATTACCTGACACACAAAATCCAGCAAACCGGTTGTCATTTCCACTACAAAAGGATTGTTTAGCATCAAGTGTTCTCAATGTTTTGTTTTATCTTAAACAGATGAATATTGTGGAAAGCGAGTTGGCAAAGCACTGTTGACAAACAATGAATAGCTTGAGGCTAACTTCTGAGATATCCAGTGTATTTTTTAAAAAAAGAAAAAACTGTTTTTTACAGGGGAGGCAGTGTGGGCTAGTGAGTAAGGCACTGGACTGGGAGTCGAAGACTTGAGTTCTACTCCCAGCTCTTTTGCTGACCTGCTGTTTGACTTTTGGCTTCTCCTCTGTGATACATTTTCCTCATCTGTAAAATATGGGTAATGTATACCTTTGGTAAAGTGCTTTGATATCTACAGATAAAAAGCATTATGTAAGAACAACTTAATGTTGTAATACAAATTACAGTTCTTCATAAACAAAGCTTTGAATCAAATACTAAATTTCCTTTGGAAAATAGGGTAGTGAGTCAGGTATTGGAAAGTTGAGCGATGAAGATTCCCACCAGCATGGGGTACTTATTTTTCAGTTGTAAATTCATTTCATTTTACTGATTAACCTGTCAGATTGCCTTATCTAGATGTCACCTACACTAACTGAACTCACACTCCAGTTGTTCCTTTGTCGTGAGTTCCATGTATAAAACTAGACAATGACAGATTTATGAAAATCATAATAAAAGACCTTTGTCTAGTTTTTCTGTGACTCTGCGTTTGCTAGTTGAGTAGGCTCTTCCTTTATTCACTGTGTTCTGAGCTTTCCTGATGCTTCTGTATTACCCAGAAGGCTTCAATGATTCCAACAGATGTGTGGTTTTTCATTGGGAGCCACGCAGGTCTTAAAACTGCTCATTCAGCATTAGGAAGGAAGCTCTGATCCCAATTAGCAAGCAGTCAAATGTGAACTTGGCTTACAAAACGACATAGAAACTAATCAATTCAACAGACTAAAACATTAGCCCTTAAAATAACAGTAACAAATAGCTTTAGCTTTTTTAGGATGGGAGCCCCAAGGTATCAGTGATGAGGTCTTAGTTGATTCACTCCTTGTACTGTGTGCATTTTAACTTATTTACTTCAAAACTGGATGGGATAGTGCCTCGTAAACCAGTGTATATTTATTTCTGGGCACATTAGGACACACTCCTAATATATGGGGACGGTAAAGGATGTTTAGCACTTTAATGTAGTAGCTTACATAAATTGGAGTCAGAGATAATGCATAGTTTTTAAAAGTTGAATGGACTTCCTTTTATAATATTTAAAATAAATTTTTAATGTTTTTCTGAATATTTGTGTATGCAGAAATTACTCACCTTTTTTGCTGCAACAATTGCTTTCCTTTCCCCTCCCCCCTTCTTGTGAGAACAAACTAAATATCCAGGAGCATAGCTTGTTTCCCATCGCCCCACATGCTTCCTTCACTGTGTACTCTTGTCCTTCTCTCCTGGGATAGTTACTTTAAGCTGCCCTCCTGCCAAGCAACATTGGAACTCTGTGTGACGCATAGACCTACTGCCAAGTTAAAGGCTCACTTTTCCATAGACAAGTGCTGCATGTCTCTTAAGTAGGCAAACTTTCCTGGTAATTTGGGGGGTGCTAATTTTGGAGTACTTTACAGCATGCAGCAGTCTAAACCCATTTTTAGAGTCCCACAAGGGAAACTGAGTGGGATGCTGTCATGGTTAGAAGGTGAACTGTGCTTTAGACCCTTCTGCAACCACTTTTCCAGTGCACCCTTAGCTTCCTTCCTTCAAGGTGGAACCCAATGGTTCAACCATTCTCATACTGGATCTCTGGTTTCCCAGCCATGGTAACATGACAGACCTAACTGTATTTGGCACTGGTGAGAAACTTCCCTCCAGGACACATGTGGCCAGTAGCTGATTAAAGTGATACAAAACAGTTCTAAAAAGAAAAGTGGTGTGTGTTCACCCAAAGGCACAGAGGGTTAAAACAATTGCCTGCATATCTGGTCTGATATAAACTTCACCCTTTCCTTGCAAGTTCAGGAAGCTTCTGCTTAACCCAGATACCCCTACATGTGGGCTGAGAGAGGCAGACTGTCCTCCTGCTGTCCTTGTTTGTCTCTCTCCTGCATCATCTCCCTACCTGCAGCTGCTGCCAACTCACTCCCCTCCCTGCCTCTCTAGACAGGGGTTTTTAACTACTTAATATCCTTTTGATTTTAGGTCCCAGCCCTGCAAAATATGCCCTGCCTGGAACCAGGTCGGGGGGGCAGTTCCCAATTAATAGCCCACTCATTTTTCTCTTAAGGACCCTTGGTATTTTCTCTGGAGATAAATTATCTCTAGACATCGTTTTGTTTCCTGCTTGCTCTTTCTAACAGCCCTTTCTTATTTAACTCCATGCAGGCAGATGGAATAAAATCAAGCAAGTAAACTGAGGTACACATAATATAGGTATCTCCCTTGCTCGCCTCAGATGCAAATACTCCCAGAAACAAGGATGAAGTTTTTCAAAGGGATAGCAGACAACATGCAAGAGACAGTACCTGGATAAATAAACAGCCCCACTTCTATGCTGAATAGGTCTCCAGCTGTATGCACACTGGCCCTCAGGCTGGTGCATGAAATAATCTACACATAGGACATGTCTGTCAAAGCCATTAACATAATAAAAGGCTTTAAGCGATGATCCTACCCAAGCCCCAATCTTCTCCCTATTGGAAATACGTCAAAATGTATCCATCAAGCATGCTCACCACTCATCTAAACTGCTTTGTGGGAGCCAGACCTAAACCGAATGTATATGTCCTACTCTCAGAACAAGCAAAGAACCTACTTGAACAAACTGACTAAACTGCATTAAATGGCCAGGAATTTTACCCTTTCAAGATTACTCCATAGCCTTGGTCTGGAAAAGGAAAACGCTCTCCAGGGTTAGCAGGAAGCTAAGGATACAAAGCACCTATCTTGCTCTGATATATCCGCTTTTTCTCACTCATGCAGGTGGAGGAGGGTGGTGAACTTGTCTTTGATACAAATGAGTTAGGTGAATCTTATGCCCAAAGTTCACTTTTAAAACACATGGTATGGGCAGTATCTTCCCTGGTTTCTTTAACTGTTGGTAAGGAGATCAGAACCCTGAGCTCTGCTTAGGCTTGGCAGTTCATAGCCATAACACCTCTGGACTTGCTGTATCAGTTATGAATATAAAAAAAAAATGCTTGAACCCTGGCACCTAATTGCTTGAGCCCAGGTATCTCTTTCAGTACAAATTAAACACTGCCTGAGCTATCCTTGCCACAGAAGACTCAAAGACCATCCCTAACACACACGCTCGCTCACTCTCTCTTAGATGACTGCAAATTACTTCTGTACCTTGTGCAGAACGTAGGCCACAGGGACAGATCCATAGCTGATAAAATTCCAGATGTACAATTTCCGAAGTAGAGATCTGTCCAGCAGTAAAATCAAAGAGATGCGTTACTCTACAAGTTTCATGGAAAGTTAGCTGGGGTATTGACTGAACACAGCAGTTCTGGATTTTTACTCCAGTTCCTTATCCACGCAGATGTAGGAGCCAATGTTAACCTCAATCTGAAAAAGAGCAAAGAGCCTATCACTTGTACTGGTCACCAACACTTAATATGGATAGAAAACCCCTGGCTAAAAATCCAGCAACAGGCTAAGTGAGTTCCCTGGTTTGAGAAGGCCAAACAGCTTCCTGCTCATTAGATGCTCTATCAGCCACCTCAGTAGTCTACCTATTGTATTCTCCTATGCAAGCTTTCTCCACCAAAAAGCCTGGTTCATCTGCTAATGTGCTAAAAAGATGTTGGACTGTGTGGAGTGGGCCTACAAACTGGCAATGCTGACCAAGGTATGACTAATGCTGATGGATTTAGGAAATAGACTAATATTCTGTCGAAATCTCCCACTTCATACTCATGGCTCAAACTGACTTTAGGCCTGGCACTCTTCAGATGAGGATTTCTAGACTGAATTTTTTTCATGACTTAGGTTTTTCCTGTTAGATACTTTTCCCAAACCAGTGTCAACAATTTGCGAAAATACCAATGGAGGAATTTGCTTTCAAAACTAAACAAGATCCTCTGGAGCCTACCAATGGGACCCTTTTGGGTCAAATGAGAGACCTTTTCCCGAAAGGTAGCACTTGGCCAAAGACTTCACTCCCCTTCCTGTACCTCCCTGTTAAAATAATGTCATACAGCCAGAATACGAGGTAAATTATGGATTCTACTACACTGGTGTATTTCTTCACTGTTGAAGTCAGTTGTTTGTGGTGCTGGTGGGGTGTGTATATTTTATTGACACTCATTTGGGACCTGCATTACGCACTGTTGGCTTCACAATCAATGGATAGTACCCCTGTCCCAAACAAGAGCCTAGCCTGGGCTCCCTGGACAATACATTGAACATAAATAAGAGAAAAGTAAATCAGCTAATTAAAGAATACTCGACCCACATCAGAAAATGCACTGCAAGCAAAGACCCTTGACCTCCCGCTCACCCGCCCCCAAAAGAGCACTAGCATAGGCTGGAGACCAGCAGACTTGGGCTATTTCACACCTGGCAGAGCAAAATTTGGGTCCCTTGAGGCGAAACCTCTGCTGCCCAGTGCCTCTTTCACAGTGAGGAAGGTCTCGTTCTATCTCTTCTTCTAATCATAGCTGCATCAATAGCAAGCGTCTGTGTGCTTTTAAGTGTATCCCCCACATGCTACCAAAAACCTGTTCTGCAAAAATGTTGGGCCTTGATCAGAACCCTCTGCCCGTCAAGCCAGGTGTCTTTGTTACCACAGGTCACAGTGCCCAGGGCTCTGAGAGACCCATAAAAACCTCCACAAGGGACTTAGTGACTTACAGGAACTTTTTTCTAAACATAAAGGGTTGTGGATTTAAAGTCCGGTCTTGGGACCTTGTAGGACTAGAAGCAAGTGCTGAGTCCTATTGGGAAGCAGGGACTCTGCTCTCCCCAGTGGTCATGTAAATAAACCTGGAGTTCTAAACTCCTGCGTCCAACTTCCAGCTACAAAATGAAGAAGGGCAATGCAGGAATTCCCGAGACTCAACTTGCATGGTGATTTTTCCTTCCCTGCCAAATCAATAGGCTTAATATAGGTATTGCTGGAGAGCTAGGCACTACGGTAATACAAATAATGATAACAATGTGGCAAATAGCAAAAGTTATCAAAACGAAAGTGTTTGTTTAAAGGCTGTTTTTTTGATAAAGGACACAAATCCACCTATTTAAAGAGTAAATATTTGTTTTTTAAAGGGAATAATGTAGTGAAAATCCAAAATATGAGACACATTCCACTCAGCAAAGAACAGTGATCCACAGAGGGGTTTTCAAACATATCAATGAGCGGTTCCCAAACTTCATTGCACTGTGACCCCTTCTGACGAGAAAAATTACTTTGCGACCCCAGAATGGGGGATGGAAGCCTGAGCCCCACCACCCCAGGTGATGGGGCTTGGGCTTGGGCCCTGGGACCTAGCAAGTCTAACACCAGCCCTAGTGACCCCATTAAAATGGGGTCATGACCCACTTTGGGATCCTGACCCACAGTTTGAGAACCGCTGGAATGTCAAGTTTGACAGTGCATTGCAGCTTCAAGTTTGCCTACTGTTCTATATCCCTACCTAGGGCATTGATTGCCATAATATATAGATGCTTGGGGAAAAACAGTCCCCTTTGGGAATTGAACCCCCAAACCAGGGTTCAATCTGAAGCACATCTTTTCTTGCAACTGCCCCTCATGCTCCAGGCTTCTTCCTACAACACTTGACACTACACCACTCCTTTCAATTGCCTTGTGCAAGAAGCCTTCTGTCAAAAATACTTCACAACTCAGTGTACAGTTCACTTAACACAAGTTTCTCCCAGTACCCTGGGGTACTATGGCCATCAGCCTAACTTTCCCATTTTAGTGCACTCCAGGGCTATGTGCACCATAATGCATTACATGCTGCCTAGAACCCATCAGACCAGCTGATCCAACTTACAGGGACGCACCTTGGTTATGGGAGTTATGGAGAGCATTTGGAGTCTCATGCAAGATCAGTGGGGCAAGAGTTGTGTTGTCCTTCAGTACCTCTTATGTATAGTTGGAACCATTTTAACAACGGCAAATAATTCCCAACCTGACCATGAGTGACGCTTGGGTTCCAGAACAGATCCACACAAGATTTATTTGCTTGTTATAACAAATGCTCTGTGTACATGGGGCCTGTTTTCATTTCCTCTTTGTGCAATGAAAGCACTGTGTGGTGGTGATTTCCCACAGTAATAGATTGTCACAGATGGAGAAAGGTTCTAGAGAGAGTCCAGAAGAGATCCAGTAGGGAAACTGAAGTATCTTACTGTCCTCCAGAAAGGAATGGAAGTGCAGGCACAAGGTGGAAGCACAAAGGTAATCCTCAACGATGCTGAGTTTTCAATAAGTTTAACAATGTGCTATAACTGAGCCGAGGCCTAGAGGGTAAGGACTGCTGCAACTGGGGATGGGGTGAGTGGGGCTGGTGAGAACGCAACACCCCTTTTTGTTATCTCACTCTTCAAAGCCTGTTTCTCCCAGCGCAAGCCCTGCATCTGTCTCCTGGACGTGGAAACTGGAAAGATTCTGGGACAGAACTGAGGTCAAAGGGGCTCTTCCCCTGATGACAGTGAGCAGGATGTGAGGCCCTGCCAAGCAAACCCTGGGTACGTCTACACAGCAAGCAGAATCCCACAGCAGCAAGTCTCAGAGCCTGGGTCTGCTGTCTCAGGATCATGCTACAGCACTGAAAATAGCTGTGTAGACACTTGGGCTCAGGCTCTGAAGCCCAGCCCCCTCATTAGGCTTCAGAGCCCTTGCCCCAAAGTCTACACTGCTATTTTTAGCGCCATAGCCTCAGCCCTGTGTCTACCATGGGTTTCTGCTTGCTGTGTATACATGCCTTCAGACAGGAAAGCACCTCAGAAAAGCAGAGTGGGTGTACCAAGGATTTTGAGTGCATTAAAACAATGAGTTCTCAGGGAAGGCAGCTGTGTGGCAGGGGTATCTTTTTGGCCATTATTCAGCATCTACATTTAGAGATCCATGTAGACAGGGAGGCTTGGATGAGAAGACAATTATTACCTCTCCAAAGGCACTAAGATGCCTCCATTCTGATAGGTTTATGAAACATCATTTCTCACCTCATTGCTGTTTGCACAAGGAGCTGTTAGATCAGGCTAGTGATGTGCACCCAATAAAGGATGGATATCTCCATTAAGCCAGGTATTTTACAGCCAGCTAATTTTAGCCTAGCAGAGTGACAAAGCTCATGAAGATAAATATGCTGGAGCATATTGTAATTGTACAAGGCCATCATGCTTTTTTCAGATAGAGTTTCAATCAATATAGCATTGCATTTGCAGGTACGTAACATTTATACGTAACGTGCCCCTGTATAAGTAGGGGCATAGCGAGCAGATCGAGGGACGTGATCGTCCCCCTCTATTCGACATTGGTGAGGTCTCATCTGGAGTACTGTGTCCAGTTTTGGGCCCCACGCTACAAGAAGGATGTGGATAAATTGGAAAGAGTCCAGCGAAGGGCAACAAAAATGATTAGGGGTCTGGAACACATGACTTATGAGGAGAGGCTGAGGGAACTGGGATTGTTTAGTCTGCGGAAGAGAAGAATGAGGGGGAATTTGATAGCTGCTTTCAACTACCTGAGAGGTGGTTCCAGAGAGGATGGTTCTAGACTATTCTCAGTGGTGGAAGAGGACAGGACAAGGAGTAATGGTCTCAAGTTGCAGTGGGGGAGGTTTAGGTTGGATATTAGGAAAAACTTTTTCACTGGGAGGGTGGTGAAACACTGGAATGCGTTGCCTAAGGAGGTGGTGGAATCTCCTTCCTTAGAAGTTTTTAAGGTCAGGCTTGACAAAAGCCCTGGCTGGGATGATTTAATTGGGGATGGGTCCTGCTTTTGAGCAGGGGGTTGGACTAGATGACCTCCTGAGGTCCCTTCCAACCCTGATATTCTATGATTCTATGATTTAATTTAGCAAAGAGAGAGACGGCAAGAGTACTTCTTTCCCCAGCAAGTGCTGCGGGCCAGCACATGAAACAAACATTTCATATTGTCTCACGAAGGCAAAAGGAAAAGTAACATATGCCTGGCACTGATTTGAACCTCTTTCTCCAAAAGCCTCTTATGCCAGTACACACAGTGGGTACTATATCCTCTGGCCAGCAGAGGGAGACAAGGAAAAAATCTGTCCATTGCTTGCTCCTTCATCATCTATCCCATATGGTCTGATCTCTATTTTGGCAGCAAGAACAGGAGTATTCTTTGCCAGCCAGCAACCATGTAGCCAGCTAGTATTAGAAAAGAAAAAATACAAGAAAAACCCGTGCCTCAAGGCAATACACAGGAGAACCGCCTGCCCAGGACCCTCTCTTTAATAATGAGGATCAGTGGCATTTGTTGCAGGGGACAAGTGGTCTTTCAGGTACACAGGTACCAGGCCATAAGGGTGTTACTAACTTTGACAAACCCTTTAAACCCTACCCAGAGATCAACATGCAGCCAGTGGATCTCTAGTGTCATGTAATCCCAGCATGTTGCCCCACTCAGTATATGAGCTGCATCATTCTGCACCAGCTTTGGACTCCAAATGATATGAAGTCATTGACCCATGCCTTGTCTTGATACCAACTGGCAGAGGGCACAGGAGTGTATGAGAGTTACAGAGACCCCCTGGTTTGTCATCTACCTACTAGTCTGCCAGAGAATGTCACGTAAGGTTCTAATGAAAGCCTGTGTCACACTGGTCGTCATAATCATTGAGAGATGTATGTACAGAAAAATGTGTCGAGTTACCTGTATATATACTAAAAATTATGTTCTCTAGGCTTGAGTTAAAGCACGGCATCAAAAGGTGACCCACAGACCCCTGGCAGACAGGGGGGAAGAGATGCTTCTCTCACTCTGACTAGACATCTGAAAATTAAGTACTGTATGCTTCACAACAGACGCCCATTTACAGTCTGAGCAAAATGGTGATCAATAGATTGCAGAGATGGCAGGGAAAACAAAACCAGCAGGGGTTATCTCATTTAAGAGTAAGACAATGAAACTTGGAAACTATACCTAGGGTGCAGATGAACTCCCCCTCCCCACTTTTTTCCTTCCATTTGTGAAGACAAGCCTCCAGTGGACTTGATTGTATGAGAAGGGATCTCAGCCAAACTGGTTGAAAACACAGGAAAAAGGACTTGAGGTAAGCTATCTTGTAGGGGGTGGGGAATGCCTTGTTAGTTAAGTTTAGGCTTTAGAAAACATACTATGATTTTGCTTTATATGTAACTATTTGTTTCCAATATTTTTACTCTCTATCACTTGAATCTCTGTTCCTTGATGATAAACATATTCTTCTTTCCACTATATCTAAATATCTATATCTCAATACTGTGTGTTGAGCAGAGTGGTGATCCTGAGTTGAATCTTGCAAGCTGGTGAGTACTGTTCCCTTGGGAACAGCAGATCTGAGAATTCTGTGAGAGGTCCATGGAACAGGGGCTGGACACCCCAGACAACTTGTGGGTTGGTATGTGCCCATTGCTAACCCGTACAGAGAGAATGAGACCTACAGAGGCTTGAAAGGCAGTGCTTGTGTCGCCAGAGGCAGGTAGTTTCAGGAAGCTGATCCACAGCAGACACAGCTGATTCATGCTAAGGGCAGGTGGTGGCAAGGTGCCTTAGACCCCTGGGAAAAGTCAATGGTCTGATCGTTCTTGTATCTTCCAGGAGAGGCCGATAGGAATTGCTTGGTGGCTGTTTGCCAGCAATGACAGAGAGGAGGGTTGAGGAGGCATTTGCACAGCTATTAGAGAGGAATATGAGAAATGGGCTCTGACCTGTTGGTATCAGTTACTCTCTAAGGGGGATCTGCTATATCTAAGAGGCTGTGCATGGAAAGTTGGCCTGAGGCTGTATTTTAAGACCCCCATCTTCCCCTTGGGTACCCAGAGACTATAATATGTTATGCCTTTTCCTATGCCTAGGAGAATACCGTGAAACAGTCAGATGTGATAAACCAATACAAGAGCCTTGAGCAGATTGAGTTTACTTGGAACATTTTTGTGTGCAACTCCAACAACTTGGATTAAAGCATATTAATTCCTGCACATGATTTCAAGATTCTAAGACAGCTGATGCCTGCTTTAGAACCTTTCTGTCTGAAGAAAGAAATAAGGGGTTTGGGTTTTTTTGCACACACAAACTTGCATCAGATCACAGAAATCCTCCTTTATCTTCATAGCTGTCCCAACCTAGGGCAATTCTGGTGCTAAAAAGATTACTTTAAAAATAAAGGTTGAGCAAAATTGCTTGGGAGCAAATGTACTTCAGAAAACATCTCTTCCATAGTCCAATAACTGCACCAACTGTGATGCTTAATTAAACAAGAAAAGCCTCTTTGGTATGGTATCTGCAAAGGACTCCTCCTAGGCTTGAGCTGAGATGTACAATGAGTTTTCCAATGCAGCCACTAGGAGCCTGTGTTCCCTATAAATTATTACCTAGGCTGATCCCTATAATAAACCACAACCTTTGTAGCCAGGAACAAAAATTTTAGGAGTGAATCCAGAGTAGTTTTTACAAACATGTCAGCTATCTTGAGTTAATTGGCAGTCGACTGACTCGAAACTAAAAACTCTTATCGTATGTGTGCCCCTGAGGTTTGCTTTCCTTCACAGCACGCAAGACTGATGTCGCTCCTACCCGTTATCTAACCTAAACATGCAAGTCAAATTAAAACTATGAAAAGTAAATAAATGTAACTTTTTCATTTTCATTTCTCCCAGAGTGAGACTGCCCTAGGAACCAGCTCTTACTGTTTGCTATTTCCCGTGAGTACCATCCAGACCAGTAGATGAGGAAAAACTAGATTTCTTAACCTGTAATTTCCATTTCTCATAATGGGAAGGGCATGCACTGATCTGGACAAAGCCCCAGTATATATGCAGATGTTCTTGCTAAAATTAATTTTGTAAGTGGTTACACCTTTAATTCTATTAATCCTATTATCTACAGTGGAGGTGATGTTTTCTACCTGGTTTATGCCATTTCAGCTTTGGAAGTCCTGGGAATCAGTGTGTGGTGCTGCAGCATGAGTCTACACTCAAAGGAAGGAAGTCAGGAAAAATCTAAGCTGCTATCTCCATTGTGGCAGAATGGACCCAAGAGCAATGTTCACACCATTAAGAGAAATAAAAATTACAAGTAAGGATACAACTAGCCTCCTCCTGTACTGCTTCTGTTTTAACCCGGGTTCAACATAATGAGAGCATTGCACAGGGCTTTGGAGAAAATCCTGGTCTGTACGTGTTAGATGAGTGAAAAATTTATTCTGCAAATGTAGGCTGGCTCTTAAATAAAAGAGCAGTATAGAAGAAAGTGAAGATTCAAACCAAGTGAGGAAGGGATGAAGAGTCTGGGAGAAAAACAATCTGAGCATGTGTTATTTGCATGCAAAACCATGCTCTGAAGTGTCCCTAGCCTCTGTTTCCCAGAAGCTAGGAATGGGCAACAGGGGATAGATCACTTCTGAAGCACCTGGCATTGGCCAGTCGGAAGGCAGGATACTGGGCTAGATGGACCTTTTGTCTGACCCAGGATGGCCATTCTTATAATGATCTAATGTACTTTGTTAATTAAGATTTTGAATGATTTAAAGAGGCTGGCTCAGAGGCCTTCATTCCCTCATCTCCAGCAGCAGATATAAACTGCATAAGGACCATGTGTAATGGTGCATGCCCTAGCCAGGGTTGGCAGTCTTGTGTAATCCTTGTAATTTGCTATTTGGGACCATTTGTGGAAGTCATGCCTGCAGAAAGCTGCCACTAACTCAGCATGGAGTTATTTGTCAGTCAGCTTCTTCCAGTTCATGTTTGCGGGAGGGTATTAAGGCAGCTGTTGGGTGCAGATTTCAACGAATATTCTCTTTTCCCCTAAACATACCTTGACCTATTCCTCCTGCTGAGCCTCTATCCTTCCAGCAGTAATTGTGAGCGGTTTCTTCTCAGCTGTCTGACCAAGTGGCACAGGTCCAATGTGGTGTGTGTGAGATTCGGCTGAGCCGGAGAGTAATGTCCCCAGTTACACAGGTCAGGGTCTAGGCTGCCCTGCACCAGGGCATGTAGCTACTTGGGGTCCCTCTCCATGCTGTCCTGTGCTATGGTGCTGGGGCTATCCGGATGTTTAGCATCAGCCTCAGCCTGGTCTCAGTGTGGTGCAGTGTTATGCAGGCCCCGCAGAGAAGTGGGGGCTGGGTACATCATATTTGCTCTGCCCCCCCCCCCGTTAGACGCTGGGGGGGCTTGAGCTCGGCGCCCTGGCGTAATTGTGCCCCCCCCCCCGTTGTGCACGGTGCTGTGCCTTCTTCCTAGGGTGGGGGGAGCTGGGCTGGGGAGCGCCCGGGTCGGGGGGGGGGCTAAGGAGACGCCCTGGTGGGGGAGTGCCCGGGTCTGCGGGGGGGAGCTGGGCTGGGGAGTGCCCCGTCTGAGGGGGTGCTGTAGGGAGGCTGGGGGGGGGGGGGCTGGGCAGCCCCCGGTCTGAGGAGGGAGTGCCCGGGTCTGGGGAGGCCCTGGGGGGGCGCCCGTTTGAGGGGGGGGGCTGGGGGCAGTCATCCTGGGCCCTGGGGTGCCCGGATCCGAGGGGACAGTGCCCGAGGCCAGGCCCCCCGCCAGGCCTCCCGGCTCTGGCCCGTCCGCTGCCCCCAGAACGGGGCGTCCCGCCCCCTCCCCGCTTCCAACCCACCTCAGCGGCCTCCCTCTCCTCCGCAGGACGCGGCCAAGCGCCGGCGACGGGCAGCCGCCTCCGCCAATGGGGTGCGCTAGCGAGGGCGGAACCCCGCCCCGGGGGCGCCGCCGGCCAATGCGGGCGCGGGGGCGGTACTTCCTCTGCCCAGGAGGCGGGGCGGGCAGGTTTTTTGTGTGTGGGGGTCCCTGTGGCGGCGGCGGCGGCGCTTCGGGGCCCGGCCCGGCCTGGCCTCCGCTCTGCGGCAGCCGGCCGGAGAGCCAGGGGGCGCTCGCCGGCTCCCCGCCCGGCTGGGCCCGAGAGGGGCGGGGGCGCTGCCGGGAGTTTCTAGGGGAGCCCTGGGGGGGCTGGGACCTGCCGGGAGTTTCTAGGGGAGCCCTGGGGCGGCTCGGGGACGCTGCCGGGAGTTTCTAGGCCCCCCCCCGGGGAGGAGGCTCGGACGCTGCCGGGAGTTTCTAGGCCCCCCCCCGGGGAGGAGGCTCGGACGCTGCCGGGAGTTTCTAGGCCCCCCCGGGGAGGAGGCTCGGACGCTGCCGGGAGTTTCTAGGCCCCCCCCGGGAGGAGGCTCGGACGCTGCCGGGGTTTCTAGGCCCCCGGGGAGGGGCTCGGACGCTGCCGGGGTTTCTGGGGGCCCCTGGGGCGCCGGGGACGCTGGGGAGGTGCCGGGGTTTCTGGGGGCCCCTGGGGCGGCCCGGGGACGCTGCCGGGAGTTTCTAGGCCCCCCCGGGCAGGAGGCTCAGACGCTGCCGGGAGTTTCTGGGGGCCCCTGGGGCGGCTCCGGGGACGCTGCCGGGAGTTTCTAGGCCCCCCCGGGGAGGAGGCTCGGACGCTGCCGGGAGTTTCTAGGGGCCCCTGGGCGCCCGGGGGCGGGTTTTTAGGGGGCCCTGGGACCTGCCGGGAGTTTCTGGGGGCGGCCTGGGGACGCTGCCGGGAGTTTCTAGGCCCCCCCGGGGAGGAGGCTCGGACGCTGCCGGGAGTTTCTAGGGGCCCCTGGGGCGGCTCGGGGACGCTGCCGGGAGTTTCTAGGCCCCCCCGGGGGGGAGGCTGGGACCTGCCGGGAGTTTCTAGGGGGCCCCGGGCTCGGACGCTGCCGGGAGTTTTTAGGCCCCCCGGGGGGGTGGGAGCGCTGGGTGTTGGAGCCGCTCTCTTTGCGGGGGTCGCAGTCTCCGCCGTTGGGAGGCACCGGGTGTCTCCCTGCCATTACTCTCCGGGCGGGGCCGGGCGATGAATGGTTTCAGCACCGAGGAGGACAGCCGGGATGGGCCCCCCGCTGCCCCCTTTTGCGGCCAGAGCTGCTGCCTGATTGATGACGGGGACCGCTGTGTGCGCCCGGCCGGCAATGCCTCCTTCAGCAAGAGGATCCAGAAGAGCATCTCCCAGAAGAAGCTCAAGCTGGACATTGACAAAAGTGTGAGTTGCAACCCGGGTCGCAGCCTTGCATTTATGTGGCCCAAAGGCGCCTACAGTGCTCTGCGAAGTTCATGAGCCACTGCAGTGTGGCCTCTTCTGGGCTGGAACCCAGCATCTGCTTTACAGTGCAGGGGAGGAGCCTTATACAACCGTTTGGTACCACCAGACTGCAGTTACACCTGGCATTGCATGGATTTTGGGCCCAAACTGAAGACAGCGTGCCTTGAACGTTGCAAATTGTGTTTATTGAGCCACATTGGCAATGTTTTAGACACCGGATTGACAATGCTAGGGTTCTTTCCCCCTCTGAAGGGAATAGGAATTGTAGTGATCTGTGTGTATGGTATACCTAATGTGACCCTTTATTTTGCAGGCTTTATTCCAAACGATTTTACAGATTTAAATATCACTACAAATGTTGTAAAAGATGTAGAGGACAGAGAAAAGGTCTGGAAGAAGAGAGAGGGAGAGATCAACTGGCGATGAAGTGAGAAGTAGGGCTAGTAAAGTAGTGAGAGATTTAAAAGGACTTCCAGATGATAGGTGCTCGAGGAGAAGCATCTTGCATTCCAGTGAGCATGTTGTGCGGAAGGATAGAGAAAAGGCCAGTTTCTCTTAGTTTTGAAGACAGTAGTACCACTTCAGCCACTGTTAGGTACTTGTGACTGCTGTGATTACTAAAGAGGTAACTTTAATTCCACAGATCCCGACCAGTTGGGAGGTATTTACATAAGTAAAGCTTCGAACTGTTCCCATGAAGCAATAATTTAAAAACTGTCACATCTGACTGAACAGTTGACATAACCATTTTTTAAATGAAAAAAATTGCGAGCTTCTTTATTGGTTGGCTTATCTGCTGCCAGCCAATTAATGATCATTTTAAGTGACATCGGTCCGTCAGGCCTATAAATGGGACCCTCACTGGGAGGAGGATACATCTGAACTCAGCAGCCATAGTCTTTATGGAGAAAGTTTCTATTTAAAGTAACTCCATCAGCATAAGTCTCACTTCCATCAGAATTTTTTTTTTTTGCCTGCAGTTGTTATAAGCAGCCATAAGATTAGGACAACTGAAAGAAATTAGAGTGTACTTTGAGTGTACTTTGTCCATTTAATGGCATATTGCTTTAATTTGAGTGTACTTTGTCCATTTAATGGCATATTTCATATGGTTGATTTCACTGTTCCTCTTGTTTGTGACCATCTTTCACACAGCAACAAGGGAGAAAATCACTTTAAAGAGAGAGACTCAACTTGAAATCTAGTAATTTTTTTTAAATCACGTATTTCACCTCTCAGAGTAGTCCCTGAATCTTTCTAATGTGAGTCAAATTTTACTATCTTTTAATATTTTGTTTCCCTTGTTACATATGAAAGACCACAAAAGTGAAAGGGGAAACCAATGAAATAACTAAACAGGCAGAAAGGATTAAACTGACTGTACAAAGTGCTTTCTTTACAGTTTAAAGGCATTTGTACTGGACTAGCATCTACTCATTTCTGTCATTTACAGTCAGTTTAGAGAATGTTAGTTTTCATTAGAAAATGCCCTCTTAAAAGGGACTTTCATATTGGGGTGAACTTTTAGAAAGATTTCAGAGTAGCAGCGTACATAAGATTCTAATGTACAAAAAGTAGTCAGTTAGTCTGTCTTCTTCTGTTGTTTGGTAAGGGGTTAGGTCCTGATCCTGAAAACATGCACTTTAGTAATCTCACTGATTTCAGTGGGATTACTTGTGTACATCAAGGTAAACACATGCATAAATCTTCACAGACATGATCCTGTAGAGAATTCATCCTTTATTTTGTGACATTTGATTGGTTTCATGAAAGTGAATGTGACATCATAAATTTAGCATTATTATTAGAGATTGAATTTCAACTCAGGCTGTTAGGAACCCTTCATTTTCCTCTGCCTCTTCTCAGCCCTAGCCATTCACACGATGAGCTTATTTCCATAATTCACGAGTATTCATGATTCAAATATACCAATTTTCATAGTGTTAAATGTAGTGCAGCAAATGTGTCCTGTGTATTATTTCTTTATAATTGATCGTAGTCTGATACAGTGTTTTTATATAATAACTACTCTGATTGCTTTTTCCCCCACTTTTTACTCTTAGGTAAGGCACCTGTATATTTGTGATTTCCACAAGAATTTCATTCAGAGTGTCCGAAACAAAAGGAAGAGGAAAACTAGCGATGATGGAGGAGACTCTCCTGAGCATGAGATGGATGTCCCAGAAGTAAGTGTCTTACAAAAGCGGATGTTGGCTGCTATTGCCAGTGTCTGCCGTGTTCAAATTTCATGAACCTTATTGTCTTGGGGGGAAGGCATACATCCTTTCAAGTCCATGAAATAGGGACATTTGAGCACTTTCATATATCTGTGAAGACTTTCTTTCACTGAAATTGCAACTTTGTCTAAATTCTTATGGAAGTAACAGTGCCTTCAGGAATAATTTTTATATTGAGGGAGATTATTCTGATTTTGTTTTGTGAGCATATTCCATTTTCTTTCATCACCCTGGAATGATCCAGTTCCTGGCTTTACTAGATTTCTTCTATATACATGTCCACTTGAAACTTTCTATAAAAGAGGAATTGAAAAGATTTGTGGAAAAGAAGTCCAAGCCTACAATTTTATATGCAGGGAGTAGAGCTGAGAAAATAGTTTATTTTTCAATTCAGTGGCCAAACCACCTAAATAAATAAAAACGAATTTGTTTTGAACAGAATTTTATTTTCTTGCCAAAACAAAAGTGAAAAGAATTGTTTTTTGGGTCAAACAAAATGTTTCTTTGGACCCTAAGCTAATTTGTTTTTATTTTGTTACATTTTGGGGGGGGGTGACCCTTTTTAACGCTTTTTAAAAAACAAATTGACCCAAATTTCAAAACAAAACTTTTACATTTTTAAAAAATATATATTCAGCTGAAAATGTTCACTGAATTTGACCAAAAACCGTGAATAGTTTCAGTTGCCCTGAGACTGCATTTTTCAGCAAATCTGTTAGTTGAAAAATTTCTTCCAGTTCTAATAGAGTGTGCCTAAACAACAAGTAAGGGGGTAGTCAGCATATACACTATTCTAAAGTTACTATTTAAAAAAAAAAAAATGAATGCACGTCAAGTTGTACTGCATGATTCCTGATTGGTGCCACAACCCAGCATGCATCATTCTGGGATATCACAGCTTTGACTCTCCACTATGGTAATGGAGTAAGCCCATGTGGGCTTAACTAAGCAACATTCAATGATGTTGTGCAGTTTTGA